CTTTGTTGCCTCAACCATCAAATGTCGAGTTTTTCTTACTCTTTTGTTGGCCATAAAACAAAAGTTTTCTATTGTTAGAGTCTTATGCACTATTGTTTGATTGTTATTTGTCTTGGATTAATTGCTCTGATACCAAGTTAAAACAATAATTGATATATTAAGGTTAGGGTTAGAAGAGAATGAGAGAGGAGAATGGGAGAAGAGAATGAGAGAATAATGGGCTAGGTTGTAACGACATGGTGTTTGGAGATCGAGAATTGGGACATAAGTGAGTGTACGAGTGCAATTAGGGGCTTAGAGTCTAGAGAGCTGGAGCATGAAATAATAGCGTGTTGATAATCTGCAAGTAGATAGGGGGTGCTTAGGTGTAAGAACATGATTGGTGAAGAGAAACGAGCTAGGATGTGCAGTCAGGCAAGTTTGGGTTAGCGTATACCGGGTAGTTTGGGGTGCAGGAGTTGCATTAACGGATCAAATTGGATGTCAATTTGATGTCCAAAAATTTAATTAATAATTTTCTAGTGCTTGATTTAATATATGTGTAATTTTTGAAAAAAAATTTATTAATTAATTTTTGAAATTAGCAAAAAATAGTGAAATTACCAAATTGCCATTGGAAACATCTCAAATCTTCTAGCTTTGCAAGGTGCCGACTGGAGCTCCTTCATGGCTGCATGAACTCCACACAGTTGCTTGGAGCAGCATGACTCAACAACTATGGAGTATAAAGAAGAGAAGGGAAAACAATGGATAGGAGAGAGAGGAGAAATGTAGAGAGAGAAAGCTTAGACTTTAAAATTTTGGATTTCTATAGAGTGATCTTCGAGCTTCAAGAGGTATACTACTAGACTAATTATGATGCTAGGAATCTATTCATGTAATTAAATTTTAATTTGGTTTAGTATCAATGCATGAATTTGTGTTTTAAAGTTTAGTAGATTTTCGGATTTTAAAACGGGTTGAGATTCGAGCATACTTTGGGTTAATTGATTGTTATGGTTGTGTTTGGTGGGTGTCAAGTAGTTATTTAGTGGTGGTGGAACGATGGCGTGAGAGTTTAATTAAACTTTGAAGGGGGTAGTGTTTCTAGCTAATTTGAACCCAAGGAATTGAAATTGGATTTGGATGTTTTTTTTTTTTTTTTTGGGGGGGGGGGGTGTTTCTGGTCGGCCTTGTTTTGAAAATTAATTTTGGAGCTAACATTGACCATATATTCGTGGAGTTTGAGGGTGATTCAAAGGGAGTTATGGGCATGGTTCAAAACTAGGTTTGTAGGAGAGCAATATAGGCTTTGGAATCACTGAAAAAGGATTTGAAACAAAGGTGAAATGGAGGTGTGAAGTTCTGTAGTTGAGCAGAAAATTCTGCACTTAAGGAAAAATGATCAAAAGTTGAAGATGAAGTGGGGAAGGGGACATCAGTGGACTTCGACAACAAGTGTGGGCACGTCCAAGGTCCGATTGATCTCTGGTCGGTGCCAAAAGTTTTGTGACGTCCGTGCGAGGTCCCAATAAAATTTGAGGTCACTTTGATACACGGATCAATATGTGATGTAAAATGTCTGTTTTTCCTTCGGGGTCAATTTGATTTAATTTTTGGGTGATTTTTGCCAAATAAATTTTATATTCATTTTTGCTTAGTTAAATTGTTAATTGAAAAATAACATCGTTTCTTTTTTGGTCATTTTATATCCAAATATTGCAAGAGGTAGGGTTTCTCAATTCCAAATTAAGTGATGCTTTTAAATTATTCCATGTTATTTATGTTCATTTGACATGTTTTAAAATTTATGATTGGGTGTTTTGATATTTGGTTCGGATTCGGACACGGATTAGGGTTTTGAGGGCAGTTATGCACAATTGTTTGAAATGACCGTCTAGTTCGTATTGAATGAAATGCTAAGATCCTTTTAAACAAAATATAAGTGCACACAAGTCGGGTGGCAGATGGTTTACGTATCAAGTTGAGGTTGTAGAAGGTTTCTCATTGAGTTCGTAAATGCCTGGGTGGCCCTGTTTGTTTTCGGACTTGGGTACCAAATTGATTTTAGGGACATATCTTTCTTGGGGTGGAAGTCCCCTAAAAGGTTTATTTGATTGATTTGGATGATCATGTTGACCCTGAGTGGTTTGTTAGGATGATTGCTCACTGGTCTGACACTGTACATGATGTTCTGAAATCTCCTTCACAGTTTTATCTAGTTGTTACTGTTTTACATGAAGTGAAGATGTTCGTATATACGTATGAAATGCTTGTTTTGCTTTTGCTCAATCATGTCAAGGTATGTCTTTTCAAACTCATTTGCTTGGTATTGAGTTAATTAACTGAGCTGTTGATGCTCACCTATATTATTATTCTTTTTTCAGATTAGCAGGTAGCGTGGCAATTCGTGAATGATTGAATTACCTATTTTGAGGGTTTTTATTCTAAGTGTTGAATAATGTTGTTGAGACATGTAAATTGTAGTGATCGTGATGTACATGTGTAGATTGTAATAAGTCTATGACTGAGTCGTATCATAGTTGTGTATGGTAAGTTGATTTGTTGAGCTTAATAGCAAACACTCGTTATGTTTATGGATTTTGTATCAGAGTTTGCTCATTATTTGGATACTGCATCATTTAGTACATACGAAGGTTATTAGCGCTCTGAATCTTATGGAAATGGATTGGGGTTTTACATAGGCTGCTTTACACTCTCTTATTTATAACTGGATAGGATAATTACAATATTATCCTACACTAATTAATCTTTGTATAATATATAAAAATAAGACACTAACATCTACCAGCAATAATTATACACAAATAAGACCTTTTACTTGGCATAACAGGAGTGACCCTCACTGATGTCCTGTGGCTGAGAATAGGAACCGTAAAATAAATAAATAGCTTGGCTATCCATGGTTGGATTGGAAAGTGTGATAATGATGAGTAAATTCATAGGCAATAAGGTCCATTAATTAGCCAGGGATGTGGAGGGAACTTTCACTTCTAAGGTTCAATCACAGGTTGATATTATTTTCTCGTTCTCTGCAGAATAATATTGCTTAGGTTTTTTTAACATTTTTTCATGCATCTATTTTGATGCAGTTGGCGTTGGCTGCTTTGCGCAGGTCAAATGAGGTGCAAGGAGTCCTCGACTTTGAAAGGTTTCATTGGCTTTCAGAGATCACTATTAATTTATTTTCTTGCAGTCCAATTCCATTTCCTTCCTAATTGTCATTCTCTTCAAATTCAATTACCGTGTAGATACTTGAGGAGCATTCTATCTCGCCAGCATCCTGCACTAACCATTTTAGAACTCACTGCTTCTTTAAGTGCCATAGATTCTCTGGTACAAATGTTATTGTAATCCCAATTCACTATGGAAACCAGTTTTATAGTTGTTTGTTAAAGATCATGCTATAGCTATGTTTAATGGATGCAATTGACTTCCTAACATATGGGCATGTGGTTTTGTTTCAGCTCCACTAACCTACTTAAATTTCTTGCTGGATAATGCATACAGGTGAATAAGCTTGTGATCCGTACGAATGCTGATATGAAGCACATTGATCGAAAGCTCAAATCATGTCGGGATCCTGGCTCACATGAGAAGTACTAACTATGCATTTGTTTATAAACAACAAATTGTTATTATAATACCAATCTCTCTCTCATCCTGTCTTGTGCGCACTCCACTTTAATGCTTCTTCTTCAGGAGTAAAAAGCGGAAGCACCGGTCCAGAGGGAGTCCAAATGAATAGCATGCTTTGAGTGGCTGCACCCTACGTACATTGGTGCTATTTTGTGGATTGAATTTTTTTGGATGAAGCTCAGTACCAGTTTTCTGCAGTATATTTATAGCAGTGACATCTCATGGTCGAAGGCAAGAGAGCAGGGACAATGTTTTTTTCTTTTATGAAGCATTTTATTTTAGAACTTGGCTGTTTTGCTTATTGACAATTTGGATTTTAAACACAGTAGAGTACCCTGTATCATGACACGGCAAGCTGATGGGTGACTGGTGTCTTGGAGGGGAGATGAGCTTTTTTTTACGTCTGATGATGCTGATACGACCAACGAAAAGTTCTCTATTTTCAAAAGCTTACTAAAGCATCCAAACCAGTTTTCATGTATAAAATTTAAAGCTAGGCGATGTTGTGATTGCCTATTACATGGTCTGCTGTGTGTTCTAAATGGGTCAGTACAACCAGTTGGCATATTGCCATCCTAGTAGTCAGCAATTTTGTACTGAAATATCACAGGAGAAGTTAAATGTTAGTATCATGTTTTAGCAAAATGAGTCAATTCATGAAGGTGAGATCCATTCACTTTTGAAGTTATGACTCATGAAGATTTGCAGGGTTGCGACTGGTTTAAACCTTTCTTGTTTGTCCTTGTTTAGCTTTTATCTGATCAGTTAAGCCTTGGGTCTGGAAACCTGTTTCTGCAGAAACCTTGGTCTACTAGGTGAAGACCTGGTTTATTGACTTGAGAGTTGGTCTAGCCGGTCTGTTGCAGTAACTCCCTTTCTTCTGTTTTCCTTGTTTGTCTATTACTGCGTACTTCTATGAAATGCATGTAATATTGTTCAATTATGTTTGTACATGTGAACATGTACAAATATCTGACATCATAATTGAAATTGAGTTGGCATGTATTACATGCAGAAATAGCTTTTGCAATCAAATATCTCGGAGCATTCAACAATATATAGTAGTTCGATTGTAGCCTACAATTACTCCAACGAACTTGGTTAGTGTCATGGTGTAACTCAGTTTGCCAAAATTTTTTACGGAGGAGGATACCCTCAAAACTCGTAAAGGGATACACGAAGTATATGAAAAACTATTACTCAATATAAGGAATCCACAATTCAGTTCAAGGACTCTTATCTACAGTTTGCCCTAGCGAACCTTATTTACATAAAGAAGATGGTAGGTGATGCCACCTTTCGTTTAGGGTTTACTAGTGACAGTTTATGGCCAAAATTACCAAGTCAAGGTGCATCTCTGCTTGACAGGTAACCGGCGTTTACCCCGGTTCAACACCTGACTTCATAATTGCTCACAATTGTTTGCCCATGTTGTCATACCTGGTAACCGTCCACAGCTGTTACCCATGGGCAGGCCATGGATAGAGATTCCTTTCAACTGCCTTGGTCATCCGTCTATGCGTTAAGTAGGCTTCTCCTAGCCATGTGTCACCAAATTCCAAGCAAAGCCTTGGGCACAACTTGTCTTAACTGAGTCAAGCATGTTGAGGCAAGCTTAAGCCATGCCTTATAAAGCAATGCACCAACATTGCCTCAATTGTACTATGTGTTGACATTATCTCGAGTTTCCTTTTCTCACCTTGCCTCAACCCGTGACAAGAACCTTGTTTGTGTGCCTTGCCCAAATGTGCCAGGGCTTGGGGGTTCAAGTCTTCTTGGGCTCTTGGTGCCCCTAACTTTCACTAGCCACTCTATATGTTCTTAGAAGGATTTTCAAAGTGACAAGAATGGACATCAGTTGAACAGAGGAATCACTATGATTAGAGTCTTTTGTTGAGTATCTTAACTACTCCACCTTGCTTTAGAGCCATGAAGTGCCTTGGTGTAAGGTGCCATTGAGACACATCCATTTCCACTCAAGTCAATAAGGGTCGGACAATCCACCCCCACTTAAAGTATCACACGACCTCATTGGAAGGTGTAGCATGATATTGTTTGATCAAGTCTTTAAATTACCACAACGTTGTCTCATTCTCCCAAGTAGCTTCCTCTGAAGCCTTCTCTCTACTTGACTAGGTAATGAGTTTTTCTATTTTTCTTACTCATACCCTTCATATTATGATTAAGGATAGCTTCTCCCACATCCGTATATTGCTTTATAATTGTAGGAGGAGCTCGATGCCGAATGCTTTTGGTAAGGTTGTCTTGGTCCTCCATGTACTTCTTTAGAAACACAACATGAAAAACCAGGTGCAACTCGAGCCGACTTAGAAGATCCATCCTATAAGCCAACTTACCGATCCTTTTGTAAGAACAAAAGGACCTTCATAGCACTAGATCAATCCCTTATGTGTAGTTGTGCAAGTGACCTTTTTCCATATCTAAGGGGTTTGTGTCAACATCACTATGTCACCAACATCGAACTCTACTAGCCTCTGTTTCTCATCTGCCCATTTCTTCATCCTTTTCACTACCTTTCCTAAGCAATCCTTTGCCTCCTTAGTCCTCTCTTGATGAGCCCAAGCGAATTGATATGCTGCATGTCATCTCCCTTGAGATTTCTATTTGGCTACCTCATGTAAAGTGAGAGGTTGTTTACTAGTTGCCAACTCGAATGAACTCTTCCTAGTGGAGGAACTTTGTTTCCAGTTGTAGTAAAACCATGCCAAATCTAATAAATCAACCTAGTTCTGCTAGTTTGTTGTAACATAATGCCTTAGATACTCCTTTAGCATAACATTCACACATTCAGTTTGCCTGTCAGTCTGTTGATGACTATTTTTGGAGAAGTTGAGCTGGGTGCCCATTAGCATAGTCAAGGCTGTCCAAAATCAGCTTGTAATTCTAGTATCTTTGTTGCTAACAATATTAAAGGACATTAGTACTGTAACTTCTGTAGAACAAATCTTTGGAGTAGGTACATAGGTTGCATACTTTGAGAATTTGTCAATCACAACAGAAATTGAAGTAAGCTCCTTCACCATGTGCAACCTGTTGATGAAATCCATGGAAACACTTTCCTAGGGTCTACATGGAAGGGACAAGTTCCAAGGTACTTGACATCTTCCTCCTTTCCCTTTTGTCTTATTGGCACACCAAGTAGTTGCGCACATAAAGTGCCACATCAGTTTCCATGCGGGACCAATGTTAATTTTTTGCCAATAGAGCAAAAGGATGCTCTTGCCCTAGATGCCCTACCTATAGAGCATCATGTGTTTCTTTTAGCAACAGTTGTTGAAGTTCGCTAGTGTTTGGGACATATGGTCTTTTTCCTTTGGGATAGAGGACGCCTTCCTTTACCTAAAATTGTCTGGTCACACCTTCCTAGACTTGTTTATGCAGCAATCTAGTCATATGACCATCCTTCGTCTGGTCTTGAATTTTTTGCAACATACACCCAACAACTTGACAAAGCAAGATCACCATCCTATCAACAATTGACTTCTGACTGAGTGCATCAACAAATTCATTTACACTTCAATGCTCGTAGTGCAATGTGAAATGGAAGTAGACCAGAAAATCCTACCATCTTGCTGATTAGCCCAAAAAAGTGTGTAAATGAACTAGGGTTTAGGGTTAATTGTGTGTGTAAACTAGGATAAAATGATTAATTTATAAAGTATTAGGGTTAATGCGTAGTTTGTACATTTTGCAGGGTTTCAAGTGAAAATACAGAAGTTCAAGAGGATCAAAGTGTAAAGGCTAAATGAAGAAGGGGAGGCAAGTATAATTCACAAATCAACAATTCTAACAAAGAGGCTTCCAAACATGGAGAAACTAGAGGATCTCCACCATCTGGACGGTGGTGGTGGCGTCCGGAGGATCCTTAAACCGCCTCACTTCTCTTTCTTTTCCCATTGGTCCATTTAGCAACAAAGGCCTCCTATTGGTCAGCCTGAGTGTCTGCCACCTTACTCCCTCATTTCGGTGCCTATTAATTGCCTGCTCCAGCCATTTCTCAAGAGGATTCGCTAGAGTTTAGTCCAATGCAAGAGAGACAAAAGGAGAGAAAGAAAAGAAGAGTGAAGCCTTGCCCTAATCACTTCTCAGCCATAATTTTCTCTACTTCTACATTTTTTGTTGTTTTTTCCACTTGGAGGGTTGAACCTCTCTCACTTTTGCGCCCTAATTGGTAATAAGAGTGGTAGTGTTTCAACTATTCCTTGGGGAATGACATGTTATATTTTGTTTTCGGTTGCAATGAGATCATCTCACTCTTATTGCTCGTCTATAGCAATGAGGGGTGAGTAGTCCGTTTATACTCTTCGGTGAAGGGTGAATGCATGTATGANATGTTATATTTTGTTTTCGGTTGCAATGAGATCATCTCACTCTTATTGCTCGTCTATAACAATGAGGGGTGAGTAGTCCGTTTATACTCTTCGGTGAAGGGTGAATGCATGTATGATACTGCTTAAGTTATGAAAATGCTGATGTCTTATTTATGCGTTAATGTTTATACCTTCCTTAATTGATGGATGGTTACTATTATAATATGCTCATGTTTATGAATACCGAGCAGAGCTTAATGCTATATACCATACAATCTATAATTATTACGCACTTTATGCATGATACAGTAATGTACGTAGTTGGGCTTTATGTAACAGTCGGGAGATTGGTTATAGACGGGTTAATTCTTGCTATAGTCAATGCTTTTGATTCAATGCATAAACTGGAACTCTGTCTTCATTAAATCATCAACTTGCCAATTGAATAGCTAGAGTAAACCTTTTGAATGGTTAACCTTTGGGTTTACTAGGGTTATTTGATTGTTTCATGGTACATAGACCTTTCGACTAACCTAATTAGTTGTTGTGATATAGTTCAGTTATACAACAAACCTACCAGTTAGCTTTCCAATGAAATGAGAGTTAATTGTTGTATGGTGGCATTTTCATAAATGAACATTGTGATATATGTTGGATCCCTGCACTGAAGAGTACCTTTTCATCATTGTTATTCAAGGTTTTAGTTAAGTATTTATTTGACAATTCTAAACTCACATCGCAAGCTGTTTCATTGCATACTAAACACACGACAATTTTA